CGGGGTAGTGCGGGCCGCGGGGAGGGCCAGCCCACGGGGGAGGCCGGGCCGCGAGTGCTGCAGCCGTCCAGGGCCACCCGGCCCACGCCGGCCTCGGGATAGGCCTCCCAACCAGCACGTGCCGGGTTGTGTTGCAGAAAGAAGAGCCGCACAGCGGAAGGCTGAGGAGCAGGGCGCGCAGGTAGCTTTTCCACGCAGATCCGGTCTCGCCTTCGGACCCTGGCCCAGAGATAAGGGCGCTGGATTCCCAATTGGTTGACTGTGGTTCGAGTCCTGGACCTGGTGGCTTGCTATTTCACTTTCTCTCTCTCTCTCACTCTGTCCCTCTCTGGTCAAATTAAAATAAGTAAATAAGTTAATTAATTCTTTTAGAGAGGTTTTTTGCTATATGGCGTGTGCGCTCACCAGAAAGAGAAGCAGACAGGTGTTCCCAGCTGTGGGGCCGCCGCCCGCTCTGAGGAAAAGGCGTGTGCTCGCCCCGCAATGTTCTACCTTATGTTGGTGTTTTTTGTTGTTGTTGTTGTTATAGGGCGCGTACCCTCGCCAGGCAGACAGACAGAGATAGACAGAAAGCGAGAAATCACCCCCCAGGGGGGATGGTCACGCCGCAATCCCTTCTCCTCCATTCTCCTCTCGGGATCTTGGGCACGCACGCACACACGCCCGGCGTGAGTTTTAAGCCACCAGGTTTGGGACGCGAACCCGTGGTCCACTACGTGGGAGTCCAGCGACATAGCCATTATGCTAACTGCTGGTCCCCTAAATTAATATCTTATAAAAATTAGTTGTAATATCTTGTTAACCTGTCTTCCTTAACAGCTGACAGCAGTTCTAAAACTTACATAAAACTGTTACTAAGTTTTGTGAAATTTCAGAAGGAATTAAATCTTTTATTATTTTTTAAAGTAAAATAAAAGTGGTTTATCTGGGCCAGCAGATGGCATAATGATTAAGGTGCTCATACATGGTTGACTGCAGTTCTAGTCCCAGACCCATTCAGTGCCTTGAAAATCGCGCCAAGCATGTGTGTGTTTGTGTGTGAGTGGCCATCCCCCTCTGGGGGTGATTTCTCACTTTTCCTCTGTCTGCCTCTGTCTCCAGTGAGCACATATACCCTATAGCAAAAGCTTTTTTTTTTTTTTTTTTAAAGTGGTTTATTTGATCCAGGGTTTAGTACTAATTGGTTGCTTAGATGAATAGGCTCTGATTCCCCAGAGATGTACTCATTAAAATGGCCACAGAAAGCTAATTTATTTAACAGAGAGAAAGAAGAGGGGAAGTTACAAGTTGTTGAGAGTTTACACTGGTCCCTTTAAAATAATGGAGGCAAGGGTCTGCTGGGTGGCACTGTGGTCAAGCTGGTTGGATTCCACATAGCAGACTTCACTGTTTCAGCCCTGGGCGCATGTGTGTGGGTGCCCAAAATCCTGAGAGGAGATTCAAGGAGAAGGGATTGCTGCATGGCCATCTCTCCAGGAGGTGATTTCTCACTTTCCCACTGTAGCTCTCTCTGTTTTTGGCCCAGCACATATGACTTAGAGCAAAAACTTAAAAAAATATATGTTTTATTACAACTGAAAATTTTGTTCCAATATCTTGGGAAAGGTGACCACATGGTGCAACTGACTTCTCATCCTGATTCATAGTTTTAATGTCCCTGGTTCCAACATCGAGCACACTGGTGAACTTCCCATATGGTCTACACACGAGGCATAAGACTTTTCCTTGAAATTTATCTTGAGTTATCTAGCTTCAGTTTATAGGGCTTTGGGAACGGAACAGTTTTATTCTTACACAATTTAGCCCTTCATGCCCAGTGGCCTCTGGAATAAGAAGAAAACAAAGCTTTAACCTGGTACCAAATGCTGAGTCCTAGAGAGAGCAACAGATGGTCATGGGGTCACTCTGAATCCCGTCCTGTTTCCAAAATATGTCAACTGAAGAAGACGGCAGTGGTAGTCTCCCTCAAAGGCCTGTAGCATGAAATTCATGTGTGTAACCCACATGAAAGGCAATAGCACTTTGAGGGTGTTGATCGGCTGTAATCGCCGTAGAGCCCAGCGCCAGCAGCAGCAAAAATAGGATCAGCAGCGGAAGCCCCTGGCTCTGCACTATCATCCTCACGTTTGGCAATCTAGCCCAGAAAGAAATTAAGTCTTAAACCTTTCTTCTTTTGGTTGGTCAGTTTGCACCTGTTTTCGAGCTTCTTACATGTGAGGCTAGCTGTGGTAGAGGTCAACAATAGGGGTGTAAGAATAACCTTCAAAACCAGGCCAACTAATGTAACAAGAGCTCAGAGGAGGCCAGATTGTTTTCAGAGTAGTTTTATCATGGAGGGTGTTCTACTTACCTTTCATTGTTTTAAGTTTGGCAGCTTAAAACAACTTCTGTTTTGCTCTCGAATCTGCAAGGTGAACTGGGCTTGGTATAAGACTGCACCTTTCTCCTCCACTCAGCTTCAGCTAGAAATGGTTGCAGGGCAGGGTCTTGGATCATCTGAAGGCCCACTCTCTCATCTTTGGCAGTCAATACTGGCTGTTCACTTGGCTGGGATAGCTGGCCAGGGCCCCTACACATGTCTTCTCTGTGTGGCCTTTGCTTCCTCGTTGTATGGTAGACCGGGATCTAAGCAGAAAGCAGGTGTGTGCGCATACACACAGAGAAAGAGTATCTGGGCTAGAATGTGTGCTCATGTAGGAGCATGCCAAGGGGTGCTCCTCTTGCAACATTGAGGCTGCACCCTTTCTAGGGGAAAGGAAGTAGACTCCACCTCTTGATATGGGGAATGTCTTAGTCTGCTTTTCTGTTGCTAACAACTGAACACCATGCTGTTATAAAGAAATGAAACTTATTTATTGCATGGTTTTTTGAGGTCCGAGGTCAAGGGGCTGCATCTGGTGAGGTCTTCTTGGTAGAGACTGCAGAGTCCTGAGTCAGCCCAGAGCATCATATGTCAATACAGTGGTAGAACAGAGCATTAAAAAAACCCAAAAAACCAAAAAACCCTGTGAAGTGGGAGATCTGTTGAACCTAGTGAGCAAATCATTTAACAAAAGAGTCACGGGACTAGTGGGAGGAACAGGTTGGAGAGCTAAGTAGGGGTCAAATGAGGCAGAGCTTGCACTGCAGGCAGGTTAAGGAATTCAGATTCAATGGGACTCGAATCTCAGAGTTGGCCCTGAGCGATCCAGTGCCACCGGCTGGCCTATGTTTTGTTTTACATATTTTTTTTTAAGAATTATTTTATTTAACTTACTTTCTTCTCTCTCTCCTTTCTTTCTTTCTTTCTTTCCTTTCTTCTTTCTTTCCTTTCTTTCTTTCTTTCTTTCCTTTCTTCTTTCTTTCCTTTCTTTCTTTCTTTCTTTCCTTTCTTCTTTCTTTCCTTTCTTTCTTTCTTTCTTTCCTTTCTTCTTTCTTTCCTTTCTTTCTTTCTTTCTTTCCTTTCTTCTTTCTTTCCTTTCTTTCTTTCTTTCTTTCCTTTCTTCTTTCTTTCCTTTCTTTCTTTCTTTCTTTCCTTTCTTCTTTCTTTCCTTTCTTTCTTTCTTTCTTTCCTTTCTTCTTTCTTTCCTTTCTTCTTTCAATTTGACCAAAAAGAACAGAGGGAGAGAGAAAGAGAGAAGGAAAGTGAGAAAGCAAGCCGCCAAGTCCAGGACTCAAACCGTGGTCAGCCATGTGAGAGTCCAGTGCACTAAACCACCATGCCACCTGCCAGCCTCTTTGTTTTACTTTTTTTTTAATAATTATTTTATTTTAACTTTATTTACTTACTTTTTTAAAAAATTTGACCAGAGAGGAGCAGATCAAGAGAGAGAGAGAGAGAGAGAGAGAGAGCAAGCTGCTAGGTCCAGGACCTGAACTGTGGTCTGCCATGTGGAGTCCAGTGCTCTTAATCACCACGCCACTTGCTGGCCCTTGTTTTACTTTTCAAAGAAAATAATTCTGGTGCCAGTGTAGAAGATGAAGTTGAAGAGGAAAGTTGAGGACAGGAACATCAGTTAGTGACACTCTATAGTTGGGAAACAGTAAAGATTTGGATTATTTCAAGTGAGGAAGAGGCAGTTGCAAGACTTTTCAAATGTCCTTTTATATAATTCTCACAACTCTATTCTCATTTTAAGGATGAATAAGCCAATGCACAGAGTCTTTTCCCACCTTTCCTAGGATCTTTCTTCTTCCTCACGCCGGTACATTTTGTTTCCCAAAGTATGACCAATAGGCTTTATACATTAGATTTATCTGGGGCATTTGTTAAAATATAAGACATCAAAAAAGAAAAAATAGGAGAGTAAGTAAAATGCAATCCAATGGATTAAAGCAGTCACTTACTGTGGAGTAATTACTCACAAATGTTAAAAACTGTATTGTTCATACTATTACATATTGTCAAGTGAAAAAAAAAAAAGCTGGCTTTTTAACCAATGTACAACATAATTCTATTCACGTTTTTAAGTTCATGGTTTTAGATGCTGGTTCTGTGGAACAACAGTAATGTACTGCTCAAGAGAAGCCAAATTCTACATGGTGACTGTGGTTCAAATCCCTGGCCATCAGCCTGGAACACACTAGAGTCATATGCATGAGTGCCCCGGATCAAACAGGCTCGGGGGCTCACACATGCCCGGCGTGATTTTAAAAGCCACCAGGTCTGAGACTCAAACTGCAGTCAGTCATGCGGGAGTCCAGCAACTTAAGCACCTCTCTTTCTCTCTTTCTCTCTTTCTCTCTTTCTCTCTCTCTTTCTCTCTTTCTTTCTTTCTTTCTTTCTTTCTTTCTTTCTTTCTTTCTTTCTTTCTTTCTTTCTTTCTTTCCTTTCTTCTTTCTTTCCTTTCTTCTTTCAATTTGACCAAAAAGAACAGAGGGAGAGAGAAAGAGAGAAGGAAAGTGAGAAAGCAAGCCGCCAAGTCCAGGACTCAAACCGTGGTCAGCCATGTGAGAGTCCAGTGCACTAAACCACCATGCCACCTGCCAGCCTCTTTGTTTTACTTTTTTTTTAATAATTATTTTATTTTAACTTTATTTACTTACTTTTTTAAAAAATTTGACCAGAGAGGAGCAGATCAAGAGAGAGAGAGAGAGAGAGAGAGAGAGCAAGCTGCTAGGTCCAGGACCTGAACTGTGGTCTGCCATGTGGAGTCCAGTGCTCTTAATCACCACGCCACTTGCTGGCCCTTGTTTTACTTTTCAAAGAAAATAATTCTGGTGCCAGTGTAGAAGATGAAGTTGAAGAGGAAAGTTGAGGACAGGAACATCAGTTAGTGACACTCTATAGTTGGGAAACAGTAAAGATTTGGATTATTTCAAGTGAGGAAGAGGCAGTTGCAAGACTTTTCAAATGTCCTTTTATATAATTCTCACAACTCTATTCTCATTTTAAGGATGAATAAGCCAATGCACAGAGTCTTTTCCCACCTTTCCTAGGATCTTTCTTCTTCCTCACGCCGGTACATTTTGTTTCCCAAAGTATGACCAATAGGCTTTATACATTAGATTTATCTGGGGCATTTGTTAAAATATAAGACATCAAAAAAGAAAAAATAGGAGAGTAAGTAAAATGCAATCCAATGGATTAAAGCAGTCACTTACTGTGGAGTAATTACTCACAAATGTTAAAAACTGTATTGTTCATACTATTACATATTGTCAAGTGAAAAAAAAAAAAGCTGGCTTTTTAACCAATGTACAACATAATTCTATTCACGTTTTTAAGTTCATGGTTTTAGATGCTGGTTCTGTGGAACAACAGTAATGTACTGCTCAAGAGAAGCCAAATTCTACATGGTGACTGTGGTTCAAATCCCTGGCCATCAGCCTGGAACACACTAGAGTCATATGCATGAGTGCCCCGGATCAAACAGGCTCGGGGGCTCACACATGCCCGGCGTGATTTTAAAAGCCACCAGGTCTGAGACTCAAACTGCAGTCAGTCATGCGGGAGTCCAGCAACTTAAGCACCACATCACCTGCTGCCCACCTCCCCCCTCTCACCACCCTGTTGTTGTTTTTGTAAAGGTTTTGCTCTGGTGCATGTATGCTTGTCAGAGACAGAAAGAGGGAAAGGGAGAAATCACCACCAGAGGGGCTCCTAATCACAATCCATTCTCCAGTCTCCTATTGGGATTTTGGGTTTGCATTCACACACACCTGGCGTGATTTTCAAGCCGCCAGGTCCAGGATTCAAACCACAGCTGGCCATGCGGAGTACAACACCTTAACCACTACACCACCTGCTGTCACCAATGTTCTTGTGTTTTGAGCCACAGAGCACACTGAACTTTTTGTCCTACTGTGTATTATGGATCCCTTTCCTTTCGTTAGACTGTGGGCTCCTCATGAATGGGCACAGGGATTCCGGTCTCTTGCCCCTTCCTGCTCTTCCTAGAGAGTCCTGCTGTTGCCAGTGATTACCAAACATCTATTGAATGAAACCTGAGGTTGTTAATGGTCATTAGCACATTTGCTGATAAAAGCTTAAAAGGTGACTCCACTCCAGACTCATTCTACAGATTCATTCTATTCATTCCATCTTAAAGAGAGAATTCTTGGGACCAGCAGGTGGTGTGGTGGTTAAGGTGCTAGACATTCCCACATGGTCAACCACGGATTGCGTCCTGGACCTGTTAGCTTGCTTTCTTACTTTCTCTTTCTCTCTGTATGTCTCTCTTTGGTCAAATTAAAATAAATAAATGAATAAATAAAATAAAATAAATAATTCTTTAAAAAAAAAAGACAGAATTCTTGGGAGAAACAAACACACAGAAACTCTCCCAATGTGAAAGTTTGAAGCTGAAGTGACTGGCAATGGAGCTGAATTTGGGGCTAGGGGTTGCCCATTCTACCTTGAATATCAGCATGAAGTGTAGTATCAGTGATGACTGTTCCTGTGGCCATGGTCACCTTTACAAATCAGGCTGCAGGAAACCAAAGCATCCTTCTGTACACTCACCAGCTTCTCTGCCAACCCTCTATCATGTCTTTTGCCCTACTCCTTGTTAGAGTGTAAGTACAGAGTCTTCGCATAAGCTTCTTGCCTTCCTTTTAAGAGTTGCTATATGAACAGGTAACAACCAAATGACCTATATGACCCTATGGAGAAATCATTGCAGCCAAATCACTGAGCACTGTTAATGCCCAGGCAAGAAAATAATTTTCAACATACCTCGTTACAGTTACATTAACTATAGTAGGATTTCTGCTGTGTATTTAGTAAGCTGGGTAAATATGAATTATTGTAAGCATCTCAATCTAACTTGAATATGGTGTGTGTGTTTTTTTAAAGATCACCTGAACCTGTAACTCTATTTTAGGAAAATGGTTTAAAGTATTATAAAGAACAACTGCATTTGTCATACTTTCAGTTTAGATGAAAGATGTGCATTTTAAATAAAAAATAATTTAGATCAGTAACTATATACCTTATGTCCATTAATCATTGTTCAATATTTTATGAATCTTTTAGTTGTGGGATCCAGCCCAGAATGAAAAATTGCAAAAGCTTTTTTTGCATGAAGTACAGATGGGAGAACTTTTGTTATCTAGAGGTAAGAATGTGAACATTCTTTCGTAAGGTATGAAATATTAAGAAATATTAACATTTATGGGCTGGCAGGTGGTGTGGTAGTTAAGGTGTTGGACTCTCACATGGCTGATCACAGTTCGAGTCCCAGACTTGGTGGCTTGCTTTCTCACTTTCCCTTTCTCTTTCTCTGTCTCTCTCTGTCAAATTAAAAAATGATAATAATTGGGGCCAGCAGATTGTGGGAGGCTGCACACCAGCGAGTCTGCCAAGGTTTCTCAGAGAGCAAACAATTACCATGATTGGTTCCCTTCCAAAAACCTGACCTTCGAAACCTTGCTCTGATTGACCACTAGAATCCCTCAAATTTGCATATCTGACACCTCATGATTGGTCCAAAAGCAACCAATCATAACCCACCATTAACAACCAATCAGGGCCCACCGTTTACAACCAATCACGGTTCACCGTTTACAACCAATCACGGCTCACCATTTACAACCAATCACGGCCCACCGTTTACAACCCACCAGAGTGTATATAACCATGATGCCTGGCCCACAGTAGCCAGACGACGACGACGATGACCAGGAAGACGACAACTGAAGAGCCTGAAGAGCTGACGACACTGCGTCGTCTCTGTGCTGTACCGTGCTGCCCACAATAAACGGACGACACTGTCGTCTCCGTGCTGTAACACTACGCCGCTTGTCCCGGCTCTCACTCCTTCACTCAGGAAACCTGTTCGGCTGTCCCCCCGGGTCGGGACAGCAGATAGCTTAGCAGTTATGTTGCTGGACTCCCACATGGCTGACCGCAGTTCAAGACCGGGACCCGGTGGCTTCAAAATCACTCCAGGTGCAAGTACATACGTGCCCAAGATCCTAGGAGGGAAATGGAGGAGAAGGGATTGCAGCATGGCCATTCGCCAAGGGGGTGATTTCTCATTTGCCCTCTCACTGTGTCTGTCTCTCTCTTTCTTTCATTCTCTCTGGCGAGTGCAGGAGCCATAAGGCAAAAACCTCTTTAAAAAAAGATAATAAATAAGATTAAAATAAATCTTAAAAAAGGTTGCTATGATTCATCAAAAAACAAGAATTTTTTTTTTTTTTTGGAGAGGGTTT